TTGTCGCCCCCTGAAGATACGGAAAGCCACAATAAGGTCTCTTCGGAGCCTTCTTTTCTGCAGATTGAACAGCTCCAACTCTCTCCTGCTGGCCACACCAAGAAGATACGTAAATCCAGTTCATTTGCTATATACCTGCAGATTGAACAGCTCCAACTCTCTCCTGCCGGCCACACCAAGAAGATACGTAAATCCAGCTCATTTGCTATATATGTTGCCAGCTTTGCTCTCAAAAATGTTCAAGAAAAAAAACGAAAACAATGTTCAAGAACAGAGTAAAACTGCTATAATCTACAAAAGGATGCACAGCAAAGGACAAAGGGGAATCAGGCTGATTTCACATGAAGTATTTTCTATGTAATCAATTAATTTTCACTGTTTCCTTATTTACTCTCTGTAAATTTTAATAACCCCAGTCCCTGAAGCCACCACCATTCCCACTTAGAAAAGGCAAGAGTCAGAAGTTTTCCTGCTTGGTCCCCATGTGTTGCCTGATCTAGTCAAGAGGTGGCGTCCCGCGGCAGGGAGGCTGGATTAAAATGATGTCTAAGGTCCCTTCCAGCTTAGGCCATTCTACAATTCTATGAAAAGGCACTAGAATATTGAACAGCCCTTCATTTTGTCTATTTTTTTTTTTTTTTATGGTCAGCCCAGCCCATGAAGAGTCACACCGTAACGGAGTCTGTAAAATTCAGCACGTGAAGCTGGATGTTGTTTGCACGCTCTGAACACACACTTTCCTAAACAGTTTCATTAATTTAGTGGACGGGAAAAAAAAGTAATCGTTTTCTCCTCCAAACATCCCTCGTCGCTTTTATGCCACGCTATGTAATTAGCTGAAACAATTCAATTTGTTAAATGACCAAATCGAATTAACTTGACTCAACACTAATTATTCTGATGCGCGGCCATAGCTATTCGTCTCCATTAGACAGATTATGAGTTACAAGTGTCGCTGCACTTGTCAGAGCTGTGGAGCAAAAGCACCAACACTCACAAGGTTTTTAAGAAATCAGGAATTTGGTCCAACTGGAGCTATGGAATCCTCCCCTTCATAGCACAAACCAACCTTTTTTCTGCACTTCCACGAGCTTTCAGCGCCCGTTTATCTTCACGCCCTAACCAGGTTTTAACTATTTTTAACTATTTTAACTATTGTTTTAATGAAGTCGTTTGCACATTTTGGTTGCACATCAGATGAAGGAGGCCATGCTAGATAAAGGACAGACAGAAGACACACTGCGTGCTCCTGTGTTCTCCCCAGAATTACCAAGTTCTGAGCAGGCTAGCGAGTTTCAAGGTCTCACAAATATCATAAAATAATTTAAACTGAACTGCATGCTGAGCAACAAAAAACCCAAGCAGAGCCTGCAAGGTTTGGGTAGATCCTACAAAGACTAGGCAGAAAAGTTCTTCCCCACAGAGTTTTTATAACCGACGATAAAAGCCGAATATCGTGTTCAAACCATGCTTTGGCTGTAGTAATCCGGCTCCAAGAAAAGAAACGTATGATTCTAAAACACACTTTCCTCCTGAATATTTGAACCGAGACATGCCCAAAGCACCTGATGGACCAACACGAGCAGAGCTCGGGGCAGGAGCTCTGCTTCCCAGCACCCGTGGAGCTGCAAACTCGCGCTGAGATTTGTTTGGTCCAGTTCCCGTTAACTGCAGCCGTGGATTAAGTCCACGGTCCCAAGGGCTTAAAATTAAAATGTTGTTCTGTCCGCACTTGCCTGGTCAGTGATGAAGAGCACTGTTGGCCCCACCTGGAAGCTACTCCATGGTGAAGCCTCTATCCTTCCACGAAACATACCCTAGTCTATTTTAGGAGCCTTAACAATTAATCCTTTTAGTATCCTGCTTAATCAACCGTTCTAAGGGACTCAGATAAGGAACAGACCTTCGCCCCTCGTGACGGCGCTAGCTGCCAATCTGAAATATTTCTCTCCCTGTCCTTAAGGCTGCTTACAGGTCAGAATAACCAATCGCCAAAAATCCAGCTTGTGGAAGATCTGCTCCAGCTGCGACGACGCGCCCACAGCTGGCCCGAGGTCCGATGTGAATGGCACCGTCAAACGCCGAAGCGACAGACTGCGTGGTGTGCTCAAACAGCATTGTTTGTTCCTCTCGCCCAGGGAATTAAACAGATTGTCTCGTCTCTGTTGCCAAAATTCTGGCAGCGTGAAAAAAGACAAACCGCAAAAACCCCAAGCCCAAACCCCACGCGAGTTACGACGTCTTTGTGAATCACGGAGCTGTCGCTCAGGTTGATCTGCGGATAAA